GTGCGTCAGAGAAACGGCATCCAAAGACATCCCTTTTTAATCAGCAGATGTAGGATTTGTTATGCACATGCTTAGAGTACAAAAATAATACAGAAGCATTAATAAAACGTGCTACTTAGAGAGAAAAAAACAACCAACCAACCAAACAAACTAATACTTATGGCACTGTTCAGAATCCATTTTCCCTTTGCCTGCTGGCCACCCTTTACCTTGACTCTGAGGATTTCGTTGTCCCCAAGTCATGCTACTTCAGAGCTACTGGAGCTAAATTCCTCTACCTGTTTTGCAGCTCATCTGTATCACTTCTTCATTTTCCAGTGATGCCTGTTCACTAGCTTGTCTTTCACCATTTGGTATTTAAGCCAGTCACTGCTCTTCCAGGCTGTGTGTCACTGTTTCTCTGGCCTTTAGGCATCTATTTATTCCTTCATGTGTTAGCTGCTTACTTGCTATCTTTCATCACTTAATTCTTTCTCTTTTAGACTTGGTTACTCATTTTTTGCTGCCTGAAGCTTCTTCTGTTTCATGCCACAATACTTCCAATGCAGTCTCCCAAACTGCTGGGTTAATGTTTGATGGTGTGTCTGGGCGGAGGCAGTGGAGCTTTGCTGCTTTGCTCCATGAGCCCTCCTCTTGCTATGCTGCTGCCAGTGAAGCTGTGATGGTAAGTCAGGATTTAAGCTTAAGGTTGCTTAAATGCTTCATTGGGATGCAACAGCTATGGGCTTGCCTGTGCAAGAAGGTGAAATGCATTCTCTTTACCTGCTCTCCATGTTTACGGTCTATGCTTTTGTTTGGGTTTGTTTTGTTGTTCTCTTAAGTGCTTCTGGTGGTTACAAATTCCTAAGCAGTGAAGACCTGTAAGATGCAAACTCCTTCAAATTGCTACAGTCTGTTGAGTAACATCTGTAAAAATATGTGTTACTGAGATACTGACTTTCACTGTGGTCACAGCCCTGGGAGTTATTTCATGCCCTAATGTGACCATTCTCATTCCAGCCTGCAGCAGAAAGCTTGGCAATATAGATATCCAGGATGACAGTGTTCTTGCTTCTTAATTTTCACCATCTTCCTGTGCTTCAGGTCTCTGCCTTGGTCTGGAGCTTGATTTACTGCAGTGTCACAACACTGTGAAATTCTTACTGATCAGTATTTAGTTTTATTTATCTAAGCCAAGCTGTGCTAGATGCTGTACAATTATGGTAAATCTGAGAGACAAGTCGTTGAAAACTTCCTGCATAGCAGCAAAACAGCAAACACTGGCATCATCTTCTTGGGCATGGTACCACCACCACCTCTAAAAGCTCCTCCTGCCAATCATCCACGCAGCAACCACTCTCTGTCAATGTGGCTCTTGCTGTAAGCCAGCATGAGCCTGCCAAGGTGACATCCTCACCCTGCTGAGGTTGCCAGTGGCATTGACACTAACTGCAGATGGATGTAGGATTCTTCCCTGCTCCTTTCCCCTTTCCTCCTTGCCCAAGCATGGACCTCGAAGATGAAACGTTCAGCCAGGTAATAATTGCCTTTTTTCACTTAGCTGTGGTTTTACCATCTGCCTGTACAGGGCTCCTTGCTCAAAGTGTATTTTATTATTCATAGTTAATAGAAGAAGTAGAAATATGCACTGGTTTTCAGCAGATGAATTTTAAATCCCCTTTTCCCTCTCTTCTACGTTGTTCAAGAGGAACCATTAGCAAAGCTTAACACCAAGGCCATAAGCTTCCTAAAAGGACATTAAATTAATTATGTGGCATTTTATGACAGCACACAAATGTTATAAATACAAATAACTTCAAACATTACAAGCATCTTCCTCAAATCTGTGCAACAACTCCATTTCACACCCTCCATACTAACTCCTTTGGTGTTAAAATCGTGTCCTCACCTCCCCAAGGACAGACGGCCACCATTTAATTGCTTGATATGTCCAGCAATTTAAGAAAGTTCATCGTGGGTGAACACAGAACAGATCAGCCAGAAGAGGCTGCTAGATTTTTTTGGTTTTTCAGATTAGAAAGGAACTTTATTATCTAGTCTAAATTATTTTTATTATCTAGTCTAAATTTTATAAATAACAGAGGCCATAGGGCTTAAATTCAATTGTCCTAAAAATTAAATACCTGTTATTAATTAACACAGATGTTTTTGTTTCCTTGTGCTGTAGCACGTATTTGTAATGTATGTAAACATTGTAAAATTCAGGTATAGCTCCCTTCACCTACATGTTTTCACTAGCAATGTGCTTTTAGCATGTTGAGTTCATAAAGCCTATCCATAGTGGGGCCAGGACAGTCTGGCTCTGCCTTCACTGGGGACTCCTCTCATCATTTTTCTTGTAGCAGAGCATGGCCTTAAGGCAACGCTGTTTCTCT